TTCTGTCACTCCTGTACACTGATTAAATGTTTTGTTACCATTTTAAGATAGTGTGAAATAAAGGAAATCTAAAGCCTGAAAGTGATGTGAGTAAATCTGCAGAGTATAGGAATAAATGAATTTACAAGTAAAAAATTAACAAATAAAATGATACTAATGAATCATGGGAAGCCAGTGCTCTCTGGCGGACTCTCCTTGTTCATTTACCTCATACGACGAGTAAATCCTCCATTTTCGGACCCTTCGTGAATACTGCCTCCATTTCAGTTTTAGCTCAGCCTGATCCTATTTTATCCTTCTAAGCCGTGGCTCATGCCTATTGTCTTGAATTCAAAATATTTAATGGTGGCTTTGGTTTTCCGCACATTCAAACATGCGTTCAAAGCATGGTTTCTGGGTTGGCATGGTTTCTGGGTTGACAACAAATATTTCTCCATATGTTAACGACTTCTCATCCGCCCTGCTTTCTGTCCGACCAAGAGCTATATACAAAAGAGCTAATACGTTGTCTTGTTTATAGGCCGGACTACCTGCAATCAGAGCTTAGCTACGGGTCCTTATGTGAATCACCATGATTCGTTAAATATGAGATTTAAAAAGTCGTCTTTACTTAGTCTTAAGGTATTACACAGTTTCGATGTTTAATTGTCTTCTAATAAAAATGAGTTAAACCCTTTATTTGATATCTTCACGAACATGCACACAATACACACACAAAATCCATCTCACACGATCATCACACATCAACAATTTAAAAAAGGTAGATTTGAGAAGGTTAAGATTTAGTCAAGATTAGATTAAGAATTAGATTCCAATCCTTATCCTCTCCTTATATCTTTTATCCTAATTTCTCCTTAGTTTATCCTCTCTTTATTCTTTATCATTTGTTAGTTCATCCTATCAAATATTTCCCCTACCCTTCTCCAACGATCCTAATTCTTCCCTCTTTGAATTTCTTCCATTCTTCCTTATTCCATCCTTCTTTAAAAACTAGCATTTTTTATGGTTCAAAGCAAATATTAACAATAATTCAAATGATTTAACTTTATTGAGATTTATTTATTTTTTACTCTTCATGTTGCACAGATGGATCCTTACATTAAAAATATGATTCAAATCAAAAGTGATAATTTAGTGTTGTTATAGTATTCATAAAACTGTCCGTCTACTCTACGCAGAGACGGAGAAATGCGCTCAGTCCGAGCATAGAATGAAACCAGCAAAAAGTCGGAGAAAAGAAGGCAGTCTATAGTAACCCGCACTCAGATGAAGTAGTTGGCTTTTGCCTCTAATGCTAAGCGAGTCCCGTATTTCCATTCTAAAAAATTGCAATAGTTATTAATAAAGATGTTTAACTCTTCCCCACTCCTATTAAATTGAGCTACAAGATAGATCCAAAATTAAGGTCTCCTACAAATACAAGTGCCCGGGAATTTTAGATAGGCCTCCCCTAATCCATTTAAAACTATAGACTCAAAAAGATATTATCGGGTTGGCCACACTAAATTTCCCCGGCACATATGAGAACTGAAGGGGTTATATAGACGGAACTATCCCTATTTTGAGCTCACACTGTTTATATCTTATATAAAGCCTGAAGTGGTTACAGTTTATCGCTTGAATAGGAATAGAGATGTACGCACCCCTTTATTCGGATATTTTTTACTTTTATACTCTGCAATAGACATTTAACCCTATTCCCGCTGGGGGGGGGGGTCAATTTGACCCCCCCTGTAGTTTTTTTTACATAACTCAAAAAGTGTTGGTCTGAGGCTGTTGAAATTTTCTGACTTTTCTTACATACCCAAAGCCCTCCCTTTCCAGCATATCCTGGTTTTCAAGTACCCCAGCGGGGATAGGGTTAAGAGGACATGTTGTGTACTTTAAATTTTGGTTACTTAATTCTAGGTTGCACTGTGGGTATTCAAGATTTTAAACAGTATTTTTATAACTCCCTCATAATATTGCGCTTTAACACTAAAGCATAATTTTTTTTCATTTTTGATGCGACAAAATCAAATGTCACTTTAACAGAATTCATTACTTTCTAAAATTATAGTTTTTGTCATCTTTTTTAAGAATGGGAGAGTGGGAACAGTCCTAGGAATTTCGCCTTCTTTCTCTTTCTTTCCTTTTCTTTTTCCTTCTTTCTCCTTCTTTTTCCTTCTTTCTCCTTCCTTATCCTTATTTCTCATTTTTTATCCTTTCTACTCCTTTCTGCGTCCTTCTTCTTCTCTCTCATTCTGTCTCTTTCTTTCTCCTTCTCTCGCCTTAATTTTCCTTCTTTCTCCTTCTTTTTCCTTTTTTGACCTTCTTTCTCCTTCTTTCTCCTTCTTCCTCCTTCTTTCTCATCCTTTTTCATTCTTTCTCCTTCTTTCTCCTTCTTTCTCCTTCTTCCTCCTTCTTTCTCCTTCTTTCTCCTTCTTTCTCATCCTTTTAAATTCTTTCTCCTTTTTTCTCCTTCTTTCTTCTTATTGGACATTTCATAGATAGGACATTCATTAACCCTATTCCTGCTGGGGGGGGGGGTCAATTTGACCCCCCCCCTGTAGTTTTTTTTTACATAACTCAAAAAGTATTAGTATGAGGCTGTAGAAATTTTCTGACTTTTCCTACATACCCAAAGCCCTCCCTTTAGGCCTAAAGCCGGGCTTTAATACTAACTGCCTGAGTCCTTCGGCACACTGCCTGAATGACTGCTTTTTCCTGTAACAAACTAAATCTTTGTTTTGACCCACTTCCACTTGTCAGATTTTGATAAAATTTAGCTTTTTGGAAAGCCTTTGACATAAGGAAAAGAAATGCACGAGTTTTGCGAAAAAAATTGTAAATTTTTTGCAAGCAACCTGTTAAAGGAAATTTGCACATTTTAGTTTTTCTTGATTAAAACTCAGGTTATTTAAAATTTTGCAAAAATTTTTGCATATTTGAAATGTGATGGTTATGGACTTTTCAAAAATGTATAATTTTTCATTTTTTGGACAAATTTATTTTTGCAAACATTTTTACTTTTTTACAGGATTTTGCGTTAAAAAATTTCAATTTTTCCAAATTTGCAAATTTTTTTGCAGATTCTAAAAGTAGAGCACAAGGGCTTTCCAATGATGTATCATTTGTCATATTTGGACATCAAACATGGGAATTAGAGGGGGGGGGGTCAAATTGACCCCCCCCCCCAGCATATCCTGGTTTTCAAGTACCCCAGCAGAGATAGGGTTAATCGGACATTTCATTTTTTCTTTTCTTTTCTTTTCATCATTCATCATCATATTTTTCCTTGTCTGAAAAATCTTATCTAACTATGAAACGTATTATCTATGAAATTTAAGCCATGTCTTCCTTCTACAGCGTCAGTGAAACAGCTGAGAAGTTGCAGTTTTTTCAATTTTGTTTTGCGAATTTTTAGCAATCACTGGAGCATTTTCATTCAACAAAAGCATTATTAGTGAAAAACATTTATTCATAGATAAAAAAGTTTAATTTTAAAGGGAGTGTTCGCGAAAAATGAAAGGGGTTATAGGCTTAATGCGATAAAAAAGCGCTTTTGATCGCTACCAATCTTACTTCTATCTATTGCATCTATAAGGAGAAAATTGTTAAAAACGACTAATAACGAAGAACGTAGTGTCTATACAAATTCAGAAAGATGCAACATACGACTTAGACCGTAAAAAATCTATTTAATTTCAAACAAATCATTCAGATATTACAACCTATGTTCATCGATTATCTTTCGCCACATTTGTATATAGTTGATTTTTCATAATATGTTTTGATTTTATTTTTTATAATAATATTTAGCTTACAACTTGTTTTCGAACATTCCTGGAAAATATGAAAATGTCGTCTTCATTACAAAAAACCCTCAAAACAGGAATAAATGTTTTAATAAGTAACTCTCAGATCATAACAATTAAAACATATTATGAAAAATTAACTATATACAAATGTTGCGAAAGATAATCGATGATTATAGGTTGTAATATCTGAATGATTTGTTTGAAATTAAATAGATTTTTTTACGGTCTAAGTCGTATGTTGCATCTTTCTGAATTTTTCATGGACACTACGTTCTTAGGTATTTGTCGTTTTTAACAATTTTCTCCTTATAGACGCAACAGATAGAAGTAAGATTAGTAGCGATCAAAAGCGCTTTTTTATCGCATTAAGCTTATACCCCCTTTCATTTTTCGCGAACACTCCCTTTAAGTTATTAAAAGAATTAATAAAGTACTCTTCATATGAATGATTTTTTAATTGTTTCGTACTGTAGCAATGTATGTGAGAAGCACTGTATTTACATTTTCGTCTATGAAAAATCGAAGAAAACAAAATTACGTAAATAAAAAATCTCTTTTTTTCTATGGAAAATCTTCTCTGTCTATGAAATGTCTTATCTATGAAATGTCATATCTATTAAATTGCATATATATGAAATGTCTTTCAATGAAATGTCTTTCTATAAAATGTCCTAACGCCGTATTTATATTATCAAGTTTATGTGAAATCTTAAATTTTTATGGATCTATGTATGGGACATATTACGGGTTTCAAACATTGGGCGGGGTTTCAGAGAAAGGTAGTGAAGAGAAGAAGAGACGCACTTTATGAAATATGGGAATGAAATCGAGTGTAAGACGAAGAAAGCAAGAGAGGTTTAAATTTTGGTGGAGGAAAAGTAAGCATCATTCTTTTCTTTTCATATCTTTATTCTCCTCTGTATAACTTTACTCTAATTTCATTCAACAGAAATTTTCGTTACTTTCAAAATAAACGTTCAGCGACTACCAACTGCAAGATACAATATAAATTATAAAGCTAAAAATTACATATTCAAATGCTTGAAAAATATTTAGAAAAACAAATAATTTTACGAAAGAGAAATTTTTGTATTTTAATAAAAGAGTTTAGACTGGTTTCAAATATGGTTGGTGGAGGCAGGAGCTTGCCTCCCCTTCAACCTCGGAGCTTGCCTCCCAAGCTTCAGTAGGCCTATACAGTGCGTTTAGAACTGAACTAGGAGTTTACTTACAACAACTCCAAAGTCACTCTGGGGGGTGCAACCAGGGGGGCAAAGACCATAAAGATTCCGCCCCTCTTAGGATTTTAGTATTAAAACACCCCTGAAGTGCTCCCGCGGTATAGTTATTAGTAAAGTAACCTTTTGTGAAAAAAGTTAAATTTAATCTCTTGTGGAATGTAAGTGAGTTGAAGGTAAACGGATTGCGGGGGGAAAAAATTAAACTTTAATGAATTTAAGCCGCGTCTTAAATCCCTTAAAACCGGTTTCAATTGAGCGCCGGCTTAAATCTTGAAAAATTTAATACAATTTTAAGTGGAACCAACCATAGTTGAGCCCCGGCTCAATTTAAGCTGCGGCTTAAATTCTTCAAATCCGGCCTCTGAAAAGTTAAAAAAATCTATAAATATATGTTTTCACGTTATTTATGTCTGTATTCATGGATATTACATAAAAAAGTAAAAAATAAATAAAAGTTAACTAGTAAAATACTTACATCTACTCGATCGTAAGTCGCAAATCACAATAAACACTTCGTTGATTATTTCAAAATTAAATGACAACTTAGTAATTACTTCAAAGTAAATTTACTACTTATATTGTTTTTATTTATCTGATAGAAACAGTGATTTTGTAATCATAATAATACAATATTCTTCTTAACAATTTTTAAAAATGTTTTACGTGTAAATTTTGTTCAGAATACTATTTTAATTAAATGTTTATTGAGCCCAATAATCTATCTTTTATATATTGAAACAAATAATTTCAATTTCTTTGACAGTAATTTTGGATACAGGAAGGAATACTTTCTGTCTGATTTATGCCTTGGTGCATGGACATTTAATAAAAATGAAAACTGACTGTCCCATCTTATTCAACATCCACATTAAAGGTCCGATTCATGCGGGTTACAACTATAGTAGTACAATTGTTCAATTACAACTGTCTCTAGAATAGAGGCTGGATCGGTACTTTTATGGATAAATATAATTTTAAATAAACCAAAATTTGGAATTTAATTTAAGTTCAAATTTGCCGTTTTAATTTCTTAAACATTTCAGGAATCTACCGTGATATCAACACTGGGTTTTCTGGAAAGCGTGTTCTATATCTGGCAAAAAAATTGGCACAAATCCAAGATTACTCCGGTTAACACGTGTATGGCAGATATGTTTCAAATACAGCCAGTGAATAGATAATTCCACGGTATTAGGAAATGTTTTAACTTTTTGGCTCTGTCACAATATACTAGAAAGTTATATAAAGGTTTCTCTATTCAACCGCTCGGGTTAATCCAAGTGGAATGGAGTTAAAAGTTGGGGTAAAGATCTGGATTTGGCTGGCGGACCAATCTAAGCTACAATTTGCCCGTTAATGAAATAAAACCAAGATGCCTTTTGGGTTTAATTTTAGTGCAGCAAAAAACCTTGTAAGTGGAGCTGTCAATGTTGCAGCAAAGGCAGCAGAACAAGCTGCTGCTGTTGCTGAAACAGCTGCCTCCGCAGCAGTTGAAACAGCCTCTGCAGCAGCAAGTGCAGTGGTCGATGTTGCCCCTGCTCCTGAAGCTGCTCCTGCTCCTGTCCAGCAGCCTGCAGCACCAAAACAAGTTCCTCAGCAGGCTGCTGGCCCAAGACCATCAGCTGCCCGTCCGGTCGCTCCTCGCCAGGGAGCTCCAACCCAGGTACGCCCAGCAGCTCCTGTTCAAAGAACCCCTCAACAACCTGCTCCACTACAACCCCCAACCCCTCAACAGTTTCCTCCAGTACGCAGTGGACCCCCTACACCTCTTCCAGGGAGTCCTGGGGGACTTCGAAGTCCTAGACCTGGAGGCCCTAATGGTGCTCGTCCTCGGGGCCCACCATTTGGTCCAGGTAGCCCTCGTGGTCTACCGGGGGGTCCCAGAATGATGCGTGGACCCAGACCTCCAGGACAGTTAGGGTCTCCTAGGACTCCAGGGGGGACCCCAATTAGAGCTGTTCGACCAGGTGGTCCTTCAGGGCCTCCACAAATCCCTGGAATGCAGAGGCCAAGGGCTCCATTTAATCCAGGTAGGAATGTAAAGATTTAAACAACTTGTTCATTGCTCTCAATATTATTTCCAAGTATATTTATAAAAATATAAATATTTGAAGCAAAGACTAAACTGAAACCAAATGACATGAGTTCAATTTTAAAGGCTATAAAATATTGACGAGGTAAAAAATTAAGTATTAAATAAAAGAGAATTATGAAAGAAATTTATCTGAACTAAAAAAAAATACCGTTTAAAGGAGGTAGTCACATGTGATATCTTTGTGAGCAATTGAGAAGGATTGGATTGGATTATTTGATTTGATTTCAGAAGTGGGGATGGGGAAAGGGTGTGGATTGCTTTTGTCTAACAACTACTGATTGAAGTCCAAAATTTTCAACAGTCCCAGACCACTGGAAAGAGGAGGAATATTCAGCCTGAATGTATTATTCCTTCTATTGCTTGACTTTGAACATTTTATCGTTAAAAAAAAACATTGACTAAAAAAGAAGACTGCACACAATGCTAGAACACACGTCTAAAAATGGATTTTCTCCTTTTCAGTGTTCTACTTGATCATGGCCAAAGTCTTAATGAAAACTGCATATATTTTACTTATTTAATAAACCATAGTTTTGGCATATCACATGATTTTTTTTTGGGGGGGGGGATGAGCCAATTTTAAATACTCATCAAATTCAAGATTTCGTGTTCCCACCATATTTTGAATAGGAGAAGGATCGACGTTTTGAAATTTGCTTTGCTTGCCTTGTCTTTTAGTGTGTTTTATTGAGCCCTAATTTAACTTTGGAAGTTTTTGACTGGGAAGGATTTGAAAATGATCAATCAAATTCAGCAACTGTTCAAAGTGTGTTAGAAAAAAGAATATTTAAAAAAATAAGAACAGAAAAGGAAGATATTTAAAAAGCCTTTCAAAATCCAAGATCGGATGTGATGAGCCCATATATAAAAAACATTTAGTTTAATCATGGATTTTAATAGTTTTGAAAATATGAAATAAAGGATATCTAAAGCCTGAAAACTGAAGTAAAAAATGAACAAAAAAAATGATACTAATAAATCATGGAAAGCCGGAGCTCTCTGACGGACTCTCTGCCTTTCATTCGCCTCATACGACGTAACTCGTAACTTCCATATTTGGATTCTTAATGAACACTAACTTTTTGTTTTGGTTTTAGCCCAGGCCAATTCTATTGTTTTGGTTTTTGCCCAGGCCAATTCTATTGCCTTTTGCCTCATGTAAATCCGTGGGCTGACTTGAATTCAAAAATATAATTCCCGGTCCGATGGCGGCTTGGGTTCTCCACAGACCCAAGCATGCATTCAAAGCATTCTCTGGGTTGACATTTTTTAACAAATTTCAAAATTGAGAAAAAAGCTGCATTTCTTATCCTAGAATGTGTAGAGTCATAGGCTAGATCTCAACCTCTTGTTCAACTGCTCCCACTGATTTTTTTTCTCCAAAGTATATATCATTCCAACATTTGACGTTATTTTATTGTGATTTATCTATCCTTTGATTGATTTAATGAGAAGAATATTATGGCGACGTTAGTTTTCAAATACTGATTTGCTCTTAAACATTGGTGTTTATATTTCCAAATGTCTAATGAACCATAAATAAATTATTTTTGATCGAACACCCTGAGTAATAGGATTATATAAAATCACATCAATATTTCTATTACTAAGGTCATTTAGATTGGTCATATTATCTAAATAGATGTACAACACACAAAATAAAATACCTGCCTGTAAATGTTGACATTTTAGAATTGCATTTTTAAATTGATAAATATGAATTGAAGAATATGTTTTGAATAAAACAGAACTCCTTCCATGGAGCAAATGAGGAAATATTTAGAATAAATTGAATATATTTGTAACATTTGTCTCATCCCACTTACAGCCCTACTGGGACCCATATAATTCCTTTATTTCTATTTCGTAGAGTGTTCCGAAAAACGCTGATCTAAGAAATGCTTAAAGTTACAGCTAAGACACACTTTACAAAAATGAATACTTTAATAAATCAGCCAGACTCATTTGTCTAATTATGATAAATTGAAACACCAATATGTATTATCTAATGATTGTAAAAATTTAAAAAAATTTCTTCACAGTTTTACATTGATATATTTTTGGCCTGTTTTTTAAACATCCACACACTTCTTGTACATAAAAATACTTGTCATTTATTAATGTAGTATAGAGAATTAATTCAGAGTTAAAGAGTTCCTTTCCTTTTCTGTTTTTTAAACATCCACACACTTCTTGTACATAAAAATACTTGTCATTTATTAATGTAGTATAGAGAATTAATTCAGAGTTAAAGAGTTCCTTTCCTTTTCTGTTTTTTAAACATCCACACACTTCTTGTACATAAAAATACTTGTCATTTATTAATGTCGTATAGAGAATTAATCCAGAGTTAAAGAGTTCCTTTCCTTCTCTGTTTTTTAAACATCCACACACTTCTTGTACATAAAAATACTTGTCATTTATTAATGTCGTATAGAGAATTAATCCAGAGTTAAAGAGTTCCTTTCCTTCTCTGTTTTTTAAACATCCACACACTTCTTGTACATAAAAATACTTGTCATTTATTAATGTCGTATAGAGAATTAATCCAGAGTTAAAGAGTTCCTTTCCTTCTCTGTTTTTTAAACATCCACACACTTCTTGTACATAAAAATACTTGTCATTTATTAATGTCGTATAGAGAATTAATTCAGAGTTAAAGAGTCCCTTTCCTTCTCTGTTTTTTAAACATCAACACACTTCTTGTACATAAAAATACTTGTCATTTATTAATGTCGTATAGAGAATTAATTCAGAGTTAAAGAGTTCCTTTCCTTCTCTGTTTTTTAAACATCCACGCACTTCTTGTACACAAAAATACTTGTCATTTATTAATGTCGTATAGAGAATTAATTCAGAGTTAAAGAGTCCCTTTCCTTTTCTGATGAGCTTTAGAGGTTAATGATCAAAAATTCATTGTTTCTATTAAAATGAAGTTAATTTCTGATAATTGGATTTTTAATATGATATTTATCATTGGTGCCAACATATATTTTATATATTGCCTTCCTTCCCCCCCCCCTTTCAAAAAACAAAAGTGTTTGTTCGACTCAATTTAAAAAAAATATTGAATCAAAATGACTCAAAGAAGTTCGAAGTAAGATTTTGATTCTACTGGAGACCACTGGAGGGAATTAATTTTCACTGGAGGGGTTTTAAAAAATGTTTTTACAATTTAAAACTTTATGCAGGGTGATTTACATTCCACAGGAGGGATTCAGTAACCTTCCCAGGGGTTTTTAATTCCACTTGAGGGATTCAGATGTCCTTCCTGGGGGGTTATCCCTCCAGTGAAATTAGAAACCCCAAGAAAGGATATCTGAATCCCTCCAGTGGAATTATAAACCCCTAGGAAAGATATCTGAATCCCTCCAGTGAAAGTATAAACCCCTAGGAAAGATATCTGAATCCCTCCAGTGGAATTATAAACCCCTAGGAAAAATATCTGAATCCCTCCAGTGAAATTATAAACCCCTAGGAAAGATATCTGAATCCCTCCAGTGGAATTATAAACCCACTGGAAAGATATCTGAATCCCTCCAGTGGAATTATAAACCCCTAGGAAAGATATCTGAATCCCTCCAGTAGAATTATAAACCCCTAGGAAAGATATCTGAATCCCTCCAGTGAAATTAGAAACCCCTAGGAAAGATATCTGAATCCCTCCAGTGAAATTAGAAACCCCTAATCACCAGGAAGGATATCTGAATCCCTCCAGTGGAATAATAAACCCCTAGGAAGGATATCTGAATCCCTCCAGTGGCATAATAAACCCCCTGGAAATAAATCTGAATCCCTCCAGTGGAATTATAAACCCCCTGGAAAGATATCTGAATCCCTCCAGCAATGGATTTATAAACCCCCTGGAAAGATATCTGAATCCCTACAGGGGAATTTTAAACCCCTAGGAAGGATATCTAAATCCCTCCAGTAGAATTTTAAACCCCTAGGAAGGATATCTAAATCCCTCCAGTGGAATTATAAACCCACTGGAAAGATATCTGAATCCTTCCAGTGAAATTATAAATCACCAGGAAGGATATCTGAATCCCTCCAGCGGAATAATAAACCACTAGGAAGGATATCTGAATCCCTCCAGTGGAAAAATAAACCCCCTGGAAAGAAATCGGAATCCCTCCAGTGGAATTTTAACCTCTGGAAAGATATCTGAATCCCTCCAGCAATGGATTTATAAACCCCCTGGAAAGACATCTGAATCCCTCCAGGGGAGTTTTAAACCCCTAGGAAGGATATCTAAATCCCTCCAGTGGAATTTTAAACCCCTAGGAAGGATATCTAAATCCCTCCAGTGGAATTGTAAACCCACTGGAAAGATATCTGAATCCCTCCAGTGAAATTATAAACCCCTAGGAAGGATATCTTAATCCCTCCAGCGGAATTATAAACCCACTGGAAAGATATCTGAATCCCTCCAGTGGAATTATGAACCCCAGGAAGGATATCTGAATCCCTCCAGTGGAATGTAAATCACCCTGCGTAAAGTTTTAAATTGTAAAAAGCATTTTTTCAAACCCCTCCAGTGAAAATTAATTCCCTCCAGTGGTCTCCAGTGGAGTCAAAATCTTTCTACGAACTTTCGTGACTCAAAAAAATGGGAATTGTTTACGGAGAATATGATGGGGTTTCTCATTTATGGTTGGGATCCAATTTTCTCTAAAAGCTTATTTATTCAGTTTCCGTTGTCACAAGGGAAGAAATTACCATTAACTGTGAGAGAAACCCCAGACCTCCAGTGCCAGATTTATTAACTGGACTGGGTCAGTGTTGACCAATTCTACGTTATTTCCAATAATTATACATCTAGATAATAACTAATGAGTAATATAGTGCAAATAAAATAAGGTTTTTTTTCGATTGATGTATATTGACCCGTTTAGAAAACAAAATGGATAAATTTTGTAATTCCAGAACATT